GAGGAGCAGGAGGAGGAGGAGGAGGAGGAGGAGAACCAGAGGGGGGCATGGCCAGCCGGTGGGCCCCGAGCGCGGGCGAGTGGCCTGCGGTGGAAGTCCCGTGCGGCGGGCCCGTGACCGCGAGGACACCGTCAAGGACATGCGCGAGATGCGGCACACCGTGTCGAAGTTCAAGGACGGCCAGGCCGAGGAAGACGATGAGGAGGAGGAGGAGGAGGAGGAGGAGGAGGAGGGAGGAGGAGGAGGAGGAGGAGGAGGAGGAGGAGGAGGAGGAGGAGGAGGAGGAGGAGGAGGAGGAGGGGAGGAGGAGGAGGGGGGAGGAGGAGGAGGCGGAGGAGGAGGAGGAGGAGGAGGAGGAGGGAGAGGAGGAGGACAAGCTAGGTGTGCTCGCGTCATATCTGACATCCTACCCCTCCCTCCCATCCCTTGCCCTGGCGCAGATTCCCTCTCTACTCGCACAGTCCGATGTCGAGCAGAGCAATGATCCCGAAAGGGTACGCGATGCGTTGTAGAGCACGGCATGGCATGGCGTAGAAGAGCACCGCTCTCGAGCATTGCATTGCATGCCGTGGCATGGCACGGGAAATGAAGCCAGCGCTGCAGCGGGAGCACGAGTCGAAACGAGCGGAAGCTCGGAAATGAGGCCAGCGCTGCAGCGGGAGCACGATTCGGAACGAGCGGAAGCACGGACATGAGACCAGCGCTGCAGCGGGAGCACGATTCGTAACGAGCGGGGCCCGAACATGAGGCCGCCGCCTCAGCGAGAGCAGCATTTTGAAACCATGCAGGCGAAAACCCAACTCCGGGGAAACCTGTGTGTAAGATTATCCCAGCAAAGCAACCTAACAGCCATGTGTATGAGCATGTATGGAAGCATTCTTCTTTAGATTCATGTTCGGATTTGACTGGAAGCGAATAGCTGCGATCAATAGTGGACGTGTCTGCAAAGGAGGCACTACTATCAACGAGACAGCACATTCTTTTTGTGCTCATTCTGAACGAGACGCTGCTATGCAGGGGTGTAGGTGCAAACGGGACGCTCCTATCAATGGTTTCCGCCCCAAACGAGACACGAGTATTGATGGATTTAATTTCGAACGAGACACTACTACTTACTACTACGGATGCGTCTGGAAACGAGGCGCTGCTATCAATAGTGGATGTCTCTGCAAAGGAGGCACTGCTATCAACGAAACAGCACATTGTTTATGTATTCATTCCAAACGATGGGCATATTGCTAACGATGTGCATATTGTTAGTGATCACGTGTTCATTCCAAACGGTGTGCGTTTCGGAGGCCGGTCCCCGCAAACGATGTGCATATTGCTGGTGGTCACGTGCACTTTGCTATGGCCGCTCGTCTGCACATTGAACCGTGCGACTACAGCGTCCACTTGTCGTCCGATGGGGACGTTGTAGATTTGTGCGTCGCCGTGCAGGGACACAACGGCAGGCTGAGAAGCACCACCGAAGCCCCACAAGCTCAAGTAGTTGTCGACCTCGGAGAAGCGAGCGCTGTCGCCGAACGGCTTCTTCAGGATGTCATCCACGTGGATTTTTGCTCTGCTCAGGCCCTCACGAAACGCGCCGACTTCGCACGCAAAGAAGAGGTCAGCATCAGCGTCCCCGACGATCGTGGCGCACACCCGCCCAAAGTTGGCGCAGTGGGTGCTGGACCTCTTTCCGGACATCATTGGCTGCTCGAAACCGAAGTTACAGGAGGCGACCGTAAAAGACTCCGGCTGAGGAGTAGCGCGAGCAGGCGCGGCCGCAGACGCGCCTCGGTCCCTCCCCGCAGGCTGAGAAGCACCGCGGGAGGCCGAAAATGGGGACGAGTCTCGCGGCGAGGCGAAGGCCATTGCAATGTAGACTGCGCAGGACAGGCACCTTGTGGCGAGGGGCATTGGAATGTCGGAGACACGTTCTGGACCAAAGACGGCTATCAGAGGCAGAGGGGAAATTGGATTGTATTAAGAGTGCGGGAGGCTTCGAACGCCTCAGTAATAGCGCTAAGAACACAATGGACGGCAAGCAAAATGTAGCCTGGGAATGGAGGTCTGGGAACTCGATGAACACGAAGTTTCCAGCAGTTGGCTCCGGGCATTCAAAATGTATCCCGGGAATGGAGTTCTGGGAATTATTTGGCCCGGGAATGGAGTCCTGGGAATTCGACGAACACGAAGTGGCCTACAGTTGGATCTGGGCATGGAAAATGTGGCCCTACTACTACTACTACTACTACTACTACTACTACTACTACTACTACTACTACTACTACTACTACTACTACTACTACTACTTACTACGACTTACGACTACTTACTACTACTACTACTACTACTACTACTACTACTACTACTACTGCTACTACTGCTACTACTGGCTGCTGCCACACTACTTACTTACTACTATTATTACTACTACTACTTACTACTCGACCTACTACTAACTACATTACTATTACTACTACTACTACTACTACTTACTACTACTACCAACACGACTTTACTACTACTTAATTACTCTACTAAACTATAATACGATGCGCTACTACTACAACAACAACTACTACTACTACTACTGCTACTACTACTGCTACTACTGCTACTACTACTACTACTACTACTACTACTACTACTACTACTACTACTACTACTACTACTACTACTACTACTACTACTACTACTACTACTACTAGAATTTCCCAAGGGGGTCGTCGGAGACGCCAAAGGCGTTGAAGTCCGAGGAGGAGAGGAGAAGGAAAGGACGGAGAGGGAGGGCTCGGAGGCCCCTGGAGGGGGGGATGTGCCCATCCGAGGGAACGGTGCACCCCCCCTCCCCGTCGTGAAAACGAGGCACCAGCCGTGGCAACGACCCCCCCCCTATCCCCCCCCGCGACCTGAGTAGACCACCCAAGCCAGCGGGGAGCGTCATAGGGGGCGGGGGTTCTGACGTCGATGAAAGAAGAAGGAGGAGAGCGGGAGGCAAGGAACAGGCAGACGAAAGCCCTTTTAGGCTTTACCCGGCGTGTGGGCATGCCCTTTTTGGCTGTTGCGGGGGCAAGCCCGCGCGGTCGCCCGCAGGCGACAGGGCGCCCTGGCCCTCTTCGTGAGCGCGCAGGCGCGTGGCGTACTTCATGCGCATGATTGCCCGCTGAAGCGCCCCGCGGCACGACAGCGACGGTAAAAGGGCAAATTCGGTGACGCTGGAGCCCCTAATGCGACGAGGAAGCTACAGATGCATCTTCTGTGACACTGGAGCTCCACAGGACAAGTCAGCTCAGCCTGCCTCAGCCTCAGCCTGCATCAGCCTCAATCTCAACCTCAGACTGCGTCAGTTTCAGCCTGCTGCGCTCCCGCATACCCCTTCGGCCTCAGCCTGCCTCAGCCTCAGCCTGCATCAGCCTCAGCCTCAGCCTCAGCCTCTGCCTGCCTCAGCCTCAGCCTGCTGCGCTCCCGCATACTCCTGCGGCCTCAGCCTGCATCAGCCTCAGCCTGCATCAGCCTCAGCCTCAGCCTCAGCCTCAGCCTCAGCCTCAGCCTCTGCCTGCCTCAGCCTCAGCCGCACCTCCGATGGCGCCGAGGTGGCTCCCGTGCGTACCTGCACCCGCGGAACTCACCTCCGATGGCGCCGAGGTGGCTCACGCGCGTACCTGCGCGCTCGGAACGCTTCTCCGACGGCGCCGAGGTGGTTCCCGTGCGTACCTGCACGCACGGAACGCACCTCCGATGGCGCCGAGGTGGTCCCCGTGCGTACCTGCACGCACGGAACGCACCTCCGATGGCGCCGAGGTGGCTCCCGTGCGTGCCTGCACGCGCAGAACGCACCTCCGATGGCGCCGAGGTGGCTCCCGTGCGTACCTGCGCGCACGGAATGAGCTCCGCCGGATTCTCCCGGTTTCTGCCGGTTTCCGCCCGGACCCCCCTGGAGTGTCACGATGCTCTCTTTTGACCCTATTAGAAACCTATCAGCACAAGCTGTTAGGTAAAAACAGTACGCGGGGTGTGTGTGTCGGACACTCCCAGGCCGTCATCAGAGGAAGAGGGAGAGTAGTATTCAGATTGGATAATTGTGGAGGAGGAGGATGAGGAGGAAGAGGAGGGGGATGAGGAGGAGGAGGGGGAGGAAGAGGAGGAGAGGCAGGGCGAGGGCGTCGTCGTCGAACGTCGGATGAGGCGCCTCGCTGATCTCGCAGGCAGGACTGTAGGCTGGGCGGCGCGAGTGCCACTTCCGCCGCCAGCCGCGCCACACCCGAAGAGGGTGAACGGGAAAAAACGGTAGGAGGCTGATCAGGGCTCAGGAGCGCAAGGAGGGCTCACACGTACATGAATTCACGCTGGTTTCGAGCGTACGCACTGCGTGAACGTGCGTATCACGCGGATGGCCACGCGGTTTGGGGGGCCGTGCTCCTGTTCGTGGTTGGGCTGGAGTGGGACTTCGACTACAGAACCCATGTACCCCAAACTTGACTTGTCCGTCGAGTCTACGAAACACGCGCATCATCTTAGAAGAGCGCGTCTTCTGTAAACCCAAAGAGGATGTCAAGCTTGGGGTAAATCAATGTTGCAGCCGATCCCCTACTCGAAGGGCTAGGCCAGAATCGACGAGTACAAAGGTTGTGGTTACGCTGGGGTGTGGTTTGCGATCGGCACCGTTGGGGCCTGGGGGGCACGACCCTGTCCTCGTCGGGCCTCCTCGGGGCGCGGGAGAGCTCTGTCGAGGTCCCCGCGCGCCCCTCAGGGTGCCCCCCGGGATGTTCCCCCGGGTGCCGGTTGCAAACCACACCCTTTGCAAACCACACCCTTTGGAGTCGCCGACAGGAGGTCGCCCCCGCCCCACACCAGCCCGGCCACTCGCCGCCCCGCGGGTTTGGGCCCCATCGCGCGGGCCCCGCTCGCCGCGAGGAGCTCGTCTTAAGCGGAGCGGCGGGCCGCTGCGGCGGGGCCCCCTCCCAGGGTTGAGTCGGTCACGTCCCTCTGCAGGAGGAGTAGTCGAGAATGGCCACATCATAGTCGTTTCCGAGTCTGTTCTGACTTTTTACACTGGTTTTCTTTCAAAATCCGCCTGTAGGAGGACATGCCCACCTAATCCTGGGGAGGGATGGGGGGGAAGCGTGCCAGCCTTCGAAAGCCAGCGCCTGCACGAGGGGGCTCTTGCTCAGACCTGGAGGAGCCAGGACTGGCTGCAGTCAACCCGCGTAATAATACGCACGGGCGTCCTTCCAAAGAGTACCCTTGCATCCTTGCCTCCTCGGTCCATCCTTGGCCACTTTCGTTGGCCGCGCTCCGCTCGAAAGGCTTCGAAATGGACGTTCCAGGCCCTTGCATCCTTACCGCGCATCCTTATTATACGGGCCGACTGTACTCCAGACGCTCTGAGGGCGCCAGGTTCAGGCTGCGCCGCGGGAGGCGTCCACAGGGTCCCGTGGTGTGCCATGGGAGTTCTGGGGTGCCCTGCTCGGTTGCGCCACAGGCTGCATCATGGGCTGCGCAGTAGGTTGCGCCATCGAGTGCTGCGCACTCGTATGCATTGCATAGCACTGCTATGCACCGCCTTGCGGTGCGCTTACTTCTCGTCGTCGCATTGTATTCGTTATTCCGCATCGCGTTGCCCCGGTTTGCATTGCCTGCCTTTATTCTCTTTGGCATGCTTGGTATTGATCGGCTCATCGTCGCGTTGCGTTTCATTGCACTTATTCGCTGCCTGGGATCCGCGCTGGATTCATCTGATCTGCATCAGGGGTGTCTTCGGGCCCAGGATTCGAGCAGGGGATCAACCACAGAATCGATCTACCCCAGCATTGGTCTGTACGTCGGAACCAAGGAAAATGCGACTTTTGTTTCGCAGATTCTGCGAGGACCTCCATTTTGGGGGTCCATCGATTCTGCTGTCGACACCATACTCGAAGAATGCGCCCGATCGGCCGCCGCTCATCAGCAGCGTCCTGGGAAGCCCAGCGTCGCCACAACGGGGCCTTTTGGGCGCCGGCTGTGCCCGGAGGACGGCCGAGAAGTTGTAGGAGAGAGTGTGAGCAGCCTCGTGCGCCTCCCCTCCCTGCTGCTGCTAGGCCTTGAGTTGGGCATGTCCCTCTACAGGTTGAAGGTGCAAGAGCAGTCAAAAAGTAGTCTGGTGACGATGTTTCGTGCTCTCATTTGATTGCGACGAATTTGCGATGACTTCTTTTTCCCAACACTCCTTGGTTGGGTA